AAAGAATGAGTCTCTAAAGGCTATATTTCAGATACATCACACACTTCTCTCCTCTTGTTCCCTCAAACAGTAACCAAGAAGAGTATTTTTGTACGAGAGAGAGGGGCCTCTGCCTGAAGCTCCCTTAATCTGTCAGATCACAGATCAAAAGCTATCACACACTGCCCAAGGGACCCTGCAGGGAGCCACTCTCAGAAAATAAACCCAAACCTCCTTTTTTCTGGCCACTGAAACGTTCAATAATTAGCTCATTATCTAAATCATTTATGTGTTTAATATTTATTGACTTTGGAATTATTGATTACTTTGCTGAGTATCTCATGAATTTAATTAATATTAAGGCGATGTACCAAATTGCATTCCAGAGTGTGGATTTGACTCCAGTGCCATAATCAGTCTCCCAGGATGTACAGCTGTTTCTCTTCCCTTGTTATAGAAAAAAATTGCCCTTGGCAAATGTCAAAGAACATCCTTTTATCCATCTCTCTTACCAATCAATCCAAGCAAACGCAGTGGGCTTTCTTTTCCCCAGAGCGGAAGTCACCTCCTGGCAGGAAGTTAAGTCTTTAGGCACTGAATCATAGCACTGAGCTGAAGCCCGGGGCTAAGCAAGAATGAGTGAGAATTTGGAGACTTAAGAGTTTGGTCATCTGTAGAGGATTGGGTTTTGGTTTTTTATTTTGTTTTGTTTTGTTTTTTGGTGCCCTACAAGGTTTCTTTCTCACTACCCTTCATCAGGTAATATGCCCTGCCCCCTGAGCTGGCCAATTGTGTTACCCCATTCCCTTAGCAACAGTGATTGCTACTGAAGAAACAGGAGGTCAACAAAGAATATCAGTCACTCACCGGTAGAGTGTCTATGTCAGAGATATTAGATGAACAGGAAAACATAATTACACTGCAGGCTGTGGAAACAGAAAGGTACCTAAGGCACACCTGTGGGAATATGGAAGTTTGGTTTCATAAAAGGATTCTGGAGGAGGTCACCTCTGACATCTGAGCTGAGTCCTACAGGATATGGAGAATGTAGCCCCATGTTCCAGTTACTATGGCTGTGTAATAAATTACCTAAAACATACTGGATTAAAGCTGTGAAAACATCTTTTCTGCTCAGAGATTCTGTGGGCCTGAAATTCACCTGGAACACGTAAGGCATACCTTGTTTCTGCTCCATGATGTCTAAGGATTCAGCTGGAAGACTGGGAGGCTGGAGGCTGGAGGCTGGAATTATCTGAAGAATGACTCATTTACATGTCTGCTGGTTGACCCTGGCTGTTGGCTGAGGGGGCCTCAGCTCTCTCTACATTGTCTCTCTACTTTGGCTAGTTTGGATTTCCTCAAAACATGATGGCTGGTCCCCAGTGTCAGCATCCCAAAAAGAGGGAGTGCCGGACACCGTGGCTCACACCTGTAATCTCAGCACTTTGGGAGGCTGAGGTGGGAGGCTGCTTGAGTTCAGAAGCTCAAGACCAGCCTGGGCAACATAGCGAGACTCTGTCTCTACCAACAATTTTTAAAATTTTAAAAATTAGCCAGGTGTGGTGATGCATGCCTATAGTCCCAGTTAGTTAGGAGGCTGAGGCAGGAGGATCACTTGATCCCAGGAGGTCAAGGCTGCTGTGAGCTATGACCATACCACTGCACTTCAGCCTGGGCAACAGAATGAGACTCTGTTTCAGACAAACACCCAAACACACACACACACACACACACACACACACACACACACAAAGAGGGAGTTAGGAGGAAGCTGCATCCTTTTTAAGACGTAGACTTGGAAGTCACTGAGCATCACTTCTGCAGTACCCTATTGGTTGGAATAATTATAGCCCCAACCCAAATTCGAAGGGAGGAGAATAGATAACATCCCTGGGTGATAGGAATGTCAAAGTCCCAAACAGCATATGACATACGACAAATATTGGTGTGGCCCTCTTTGGAAGATCCAATCTTCTATACCGGGCAAAGGGATGGAAGACTAAGGAACAACATCAGGAATAGCCCGAGAGGGAAAAAGCATCACTTTTTCTAGGAACTACAAATAGTTTGGAGAAGCAAAGATGTCTAGATGCCTCCCAATATGCAGAGTGGGGTGTACAGAAGAGAGTGGTAAGGGCGCTGGCAGAGCTAAGGTGGCCAAGAAAGCTTCCTCTGTCATATTAAAAAAGGTGGAATTTATCTTGATGGTAGTGAAAGCGGAGGGCTATGGTTAGATTCACATTTGAGATTTAGATTTTTAGATTTAAAACGATCACCCTGGTGACACTGGCTTAACTCAGAATTTTGCCCAAGGCCTATGCTACTGCAGTGCTTCTGAAACTTTAAAGCACATTAGAATCACCTGGAGGTCTTGTTAGACCATGGAATGCTGGGCCTCGAAACCCCAGAGATTCCGATTCAGTAGGTCGAGAACAGGGCCTGAGAATTTGTATTTCTAACAAGTTTCCAGGTGATGCTGAGGCTGCTGGCCCAGGGACCGTATTTGAGAATCATTGCCCTATGATAAATCCTATCAAAATATCCTAATGGCAGAGCATGGTAATTCTGGTGAAATCCTCCCCTACCCATAACCTGACAGCTGTTAGGATCTGCCTACCTGGGGCTAAAAGCAACCAAGAGAGGAACAGGTACAGTGTACTAGAGGGTCCCTCAACATCTTTGCCCACGCCACAGTGCCCCAGCATCTTACCAAGTGTGCCTGATTCCTCTTGACTACCTCCAAGGAACTGGAGAAGGACGAGTTCTTTCGAAGCCTTCATCTTCTCTGATCTGCTACTCTAGGTCTATTTCTTTGGCCAAAAAGTTGGGGCAATGATACTAACTTTGCAGGCAGCTGGAGCATTTGCTAGTGGCCTTTCTATGTCAGAACTTGCTAAGCATGCTGGCTAATAACGATACAACAAGGACGCGGTGGCTCACATCTGTAATCCCAGCACTCTGGGAGGCCGAAGGGCAGATCACCTGAGGTCGGGAGTTCGAGACCAGCCTGGCCAACATGGTGAAACCCCATCTCTACTAAAAATACAAAAATTAGCCAGGCATGGTGGTGGGGACCTGTAGTCCCAGCTACTCTGGAGGCTGAGACAGGAGAATTGCTTGAACCCAGGAGGTGGAGATTGCAGTGAGCAGAGATGGTACCACTGCACTCCAGCCTGGGCAACAAAGCAAGACTCTGTCTCAAAAAATAATAAAAATAATAATAATAATAACTAATAACGCAGCTCTCTCTGAGTATATAATGCAGTTCTGATGATGTGAGGAAGGGCCTTACTGTTGGTGTGGCAGAGTCTGAGACGACGGCTGGCAACAAAAACACTCCCCGTTGATGCCTGTGGGCTCTCCCTTTATGGCTCCAAGGAGGGCTTCTCAATCTTGGCAGTATTTTGGACTGGACACTTCTTTGTTGCACAGGTTGGGGGTTGTCTTGCACATCACAGGACGTTTCATCCCTGGCCTCTACCTACTAGATGCCAGTAGAACACACCCACCCCACAGCTGCCCACTGTGACAATCAAAAGCATCTCCAGATACTTTGCAGGGGGAAAATGATTTCTCCAGGCCTGGCATATACATAACAGTATTTAAGCAGCTGCCTAGAATTAAACACAGAAAGATGTCTCTCATCCAGAACGCCCTGGACCACCTCTTTGACAGGCAATCAGATCCTCACCTCCTCCACCCTATTTTTGAAGGCCTTGTGCCAACACCTGTTCTTCCATGAATACTTCCTTGGTTCCCCCATCCCTAGCTCTATATACTCCCATTCAACACTCATACCTGTTACATTCCTCTTGACACTTGTTATTTAGCATCCTAAGTATGTAAACATGTCTCTCTTCACGATTCACAAAGCGGCTTTGGAAGAACTTTAGTACCTTCCCATCTTCTCTGCCATGAAAAGTGTACACGATTCACATTTTCTTTTTTCTTTTTTTTTTTCTTTAAGACAGTATCTTGTTATGATGGCCGGGCTGGGATGCAGTGACTATTCATTCACAGGCACAATCTTGGCTCACTGCAGCCTTAAGCTCCCAGGCTCAAGTGATCCTCCTGCCTCAGCCTCCTGAGTAGCTGAGATCACAGGCATGCACTACCACACTCGGCTCACATTTGACATCATCTAAAGCATATACAAAATGTGAAGAAAACTTTCACAATTTGCATCCTTTTGTAATATGTAACGGAAATAAAATTCTATTTTAAAATCTATCAACAATAGGCAAAGCACGGTGGGTGGTTCATGCCTACAGTCTCAGCACTTTGTGAGGCCCAGGCGGAAGGATTGCTTCAGCCTAGAAGTTCAAGACCACCATGGGCAACATAATGAAACCCTCTCCACAAAAAATACAAAAATTAGCTGGGTGTGGTGGCACACACCTGTAGTCCCAGCTACTTGGGAGGCTGAAATGGGAGGACTGCCTGGGCCCTAGAGGGGGAAGTTGCAATAAGCCAGGACCACACCATTGCACTCCAGCCTGGGCTACAGAGTGAGACTCTGTCTCAAACAAACAAATAAATGAGGCGGCTGGATCGCGAGGTCAGGAGATTGAGACCATCCTAACACGGTGAAACGCCGTCTCTACTAAAAAAAAAAAAAAAAAAATTAGCCGGGCGTGGTGGCGGGCACCTGTAGTCCCAACTACTCGAGAGGCTGAGGCAGGAGAATGGCGTGAACCGAGGAGGCGGAGCTTGCAGTGAGCCGAGATCGCACCACTGCACTCCAGCCTGGGGGACAGAGTGAGACTCCGTCTCAAAAATAAACAAACAAAATCTATTAACAATATTTATTGTGCACTTAACAGGAACCATGCCCTGTCCAAAAAAACTTTACAGGGCTTAACTCATTTTATCCTTACCACAATCCTATGAAGCAGGAACTTTTATAAACTGCATTTTATAAACAAGGCACAGAGAGGTTAATTAACTTGCCCGTTGGTCACACAGCTAGGAAGTGGGCAGAGTACAGATTTACACAAGGCATCCGTCTCCTGGCCCCACATACCCAACTGCTGTAAACCCACACCGGCGGCCAAGCAGCCTCAATTCGTGCATGCACCCACTTCCCAGCAAAACAGAGCTCCCAAGTTCCTCCTGTTTAGAATTTTTGAAGCGGCGGGACACCAGGCTGTAGTCTCCCTGGGGTCAGGGGTCCTGGTTGCACTCCGTGCTTTACACAAAGCACGCTCTCCATTTTTGTTAAATGCACGAATAGTGCTAAGCTGGGAAGTTCTTCCTGAGGTCTAACCTCAGGCTGTTTCCCCACAGAAGAGTGCCTGCGGCCAGTGGCCACCAGGGGTCGCTGCAGCACCCCGCCCTGGAGGGCGGAGCGGGTGGCAGACCCAGAGCAGCATGTGGACTCTCGGGCGCCGCGCAGTCGCCGGCCTCCTGGCGTCCCCCAGCCCGGCCCAGGCCCAGACCCTCACCCGGGCCCCGCGGCCGGCAGAGTTGGCTCAGCTCTGCAGCCGCCGGGGCCTGCGCACCGGCATCAATGCGACCTGCACAACCCACCACGCCGTGAGTATCCGCGCCGGGAACCGCCAAGGGCCGCACGCCGCGCGCCGCACGCCTGCGTAGGGAGGTGCCGCGCACGCCGTGGACGCTCCGGGGACGCGCGCCGGTCTAGCTCACCCTGCTCGGTCTCAGGGCGGTCCGGCGGTAGCGGCCTTGCAACTCCCTTCTCTAGTTCTCCCGGTTGCATTTGCACTGGCTTCTGCTTTCCGATGGAAAAGGGGACATTTTGTCCTGCAGTGCGACTGCAGCGCACGGCACGGGCGAAGGCAGGGCAGGCTGGTGGAGGGGACCGGTTCCGAGGGGTCTGCGGCTGTCTCCATGCTTGTCACTTCGCACCGATAACTTGTTTCAGTAATATTAATAGGTGGTATCTGCTAGTATATACATACACATCATGTGTGTGTCTGTGTGTATCTATATATAACGTGTGTATGTGTGTGTTGGCGCGCACGGGCGCGCACATACCTAGTTTTTTTTGTTTGTTTGTTTGTTTTTTTGAGATGGAGTCTCGCTCTGTCGCCCAGGCTGGAGTGCAGTGACCGGATCTCAGCTCACTGCAAACTCCGCCTCCCGGGTTCACGCCATTCTCCTGCCTCAGCCTCCGGAATAGCTGGGACTACAGGCGCCCGCCACCTCGCCCGGCTAGTTTTTTGTATTTTTTTTTAGAGACGGCGTTTCACCGTGTTAGCCAGGATGGTCTTGATCTTGTGACCTCGTGATCCGCCCGTCTTGGCCTCCCAAAGTGCTGGGATTACAGGCTTGAGCCACCGCGCCCGGCCATACCTAGTATTTTTAAGGCTAGATTTTTTGAACGAAATGCTTTCCTGGAGCGAGGTGAAACTTTCAGAGCTGCAGAGTAGCTAGAGCAGCAGGGGCCCTGGCTTCTGGAAAATGACCCGACCTTCATTCCAAATTCTGCCCCACTCCGCAGAGCTGTGTGACCTTGGGGGATCCCCTAACCTCTCTGAGACGTGGCTTTGTTTTCTGTAGGGAGAAGATAAAGGTGACGCCCATTTTGCGGACCTGGTGTGAGGATTAAATGGTAATAACATAGATAAAGTCTTCAGAACTTCAAATTAGTTCCCCTTTCTTCCCTTGGGCGTACAAAGAAATACCTGGCCCAGTTATGCCACGACTTGAAAGGAGGAAACCCAAAGAATGGCTGAGGGGATGAGGAAGATTCCTCAAGGGGAGGACGGGGTATTTAATGAGGGTCTTGAAGATGCCAAGGAAGTGGTGGAGGGTGTTCCACAAGGAGGGAACCCTCTGGGCAAAGGCAGGGAAGGCGGAAGGGGATCCCTTCTGAGTGGCTGGGCATGTATTAGGGGAGATGAAAGAGGCAGGCCAAGTCCAAGCCATATTTGTGTTGCTCCCCGGAGTTTGTACTTTAGGCTTAAACTTCCCACTTACACGTGTTATTTGGCCCGCATTGTGTTTGAAGCAGCTTTGGGATTGGTTGCCAGTGCTTAAAAGTTGGGACTTAGAAAATGGATTTCCTGGCAGGGCGCGGTGGCTCATGCCCATAATCCCAGCACTTTGGGAGGCCTAGGCAGGTGGATCACCTGAGGTCAGGAGTTCAAGACTAGCCTGGCCAACATGGTGAAACACTGTCTCTACTGAAAAATACAAAAAAAAAAAAAAAAGAAGAAAAAGAAAGAAAGAAATGTTAGCTGGTGTCGCGCGCCTGTAATCCCAGCTACTCGGGAGGTTGAGGCAGGAGAATCACTTGAACCCGGGAGGCGGAGGTTGCATTGAGCCAAGATCGCCCACTGCACTCCAGCCTGGGTGACAGAGCAAGAATCTATCTCAAAAAATAATTATAATAAATAAAAATAAAAAATAAAATGGATTTCCCAGCATCTCTAGAAAAATAGGCAAGTGTGGCCATGATGGTCCTTAGACCCCCTCTAGGAAAGCAGACATGTATTACTTGGCTTCTGTGCACTACCTGAGCTGCTGCGTGTTGGGCTTCCACCCCTGCCTGTGTGGACAGCATGGAGTGTCAGCAAAGTTGTTTTTTCTGTTTTTTTTTTTTTTTTGAGACGGAGTCTCGCTCTGTCACCAGGCTGGAGTGCAGTGGCGCAATTTCGGCTCACTGCAACCTCTACCTCCCGGGTTCAAATGATTCTCCTACCTCAGCCTCCTGAGTAGCTGGGATTATAGGCTAATTTTTTAGTAGAGATGGGTTTCTCCATGTTGGTCAGGCTGGTCTCGAACCCCCAACCTCAGGTGATCCGCCCACCTTGCCCTCCCAAAGTGCTGGAATTACAGGCGTGAGCCACCGCATCCGGCAGTCAGCAGAGTTTTTAATTTAGGAGAATGACAAGAGGTGGTACAGTTTTTTGGATGGTACCTGGTGGCTGTTAAGGGCTGTTGACTGACAAACACACCCAACTTGACGCTGGCACCCAGGAGGTGGACACTGGGTTTATGGATAGATGGTTAGCAACCTCTGTCACCAGCTGGGTGTCTTTTTTCCATACTGAATTAATCACATTTGTTTAACCTGTCTGTTCCACAGTTCCCTTGCACATCTTGGGTATTTGAGGAGTTGGGTGGATGGCAGTGGCAACTGGGGCCACCATCCTGTTTAATTATTTTAAAGCCCTGACTGTCCTGGAGTGACCCTAAGGTCCCCTTGGTCTCCAAAATTCATCAGAAACTGAGTTCACTTGAAGGCCTCTTCCCCACCATTTTCTCTATCCCTTACATCTACTTCTAGAGCAGCTGTTCAACAGAAACAGAATGGGAGCCACACACATAATTCTACATTTTCTAGTTAAAAAGAAAAAAAATCATTTTCAACAACATATTTATTCAACCTAGTACATACAAAATTTTATCGTTCCAACATGTAATCAGTATTTTAAAAATCAGTAATGAGGCCAGGCACTGTGGCTTACGCCTGTAATCCCAGGAGTTTGGGAGGCTGAGGGGAGTGGATCATCTGAGATCAGGAGTTCAAAACCAGCCTGGCCAACATGGTGAAACCCCATCTCTACTAAAAATTAGCTCGGCATGGTGGTGGGTGCCTGTAGTCCCAGCTACTCAGGAGGCTGAGGCATGAGAATACTTGAGCCCAGGAGACGGACGTTGCAGTGAGCCGAGATTTTGGGAGACTCTGTCACAGGCACACACACAAATCAGTAATTAGATATCTTACATACTTGTGTCACACACAAAAAAAAATGTGTCTCACACACACAAAAATCAGTAATTAGATATCTTACATACTCTTTCATACTCATATACTTCCAGCATATCTCAATTCACAATTTCCAAGTAAATGCTCGATCTCTATTTAGTTTTATAAAATTGACAATTGAAAATGATGGTTCACATAGTCAAGTTGTTCCAAACACACTTAAATGTCTCCTAGGCAGGGTGTGGTCACTCACGCTTGTAATCCCAGCACTTTGGGAGGCCGAGATGGGCGGATCACCTGAGGTCAGGAGTTTGAGACCAGCCTGGCCAACATGGTGAAACCCTGTCTCTACTAAAAATACAAAAATTAGTTGGGTGTGGTGGCGGGCGCCTGTAATCCCAGCTACTCGGGAGGCTGAGGCAGGATAATTGCTTGAACCTGGGAGGCGGAGGTTGCAGTGAGCTGAGATCACACCACTGCACTCCAGTCTGGGCGACAGAGCGAGACTCCATCTCCAAAAAAAAAGGAAAAAAGAAAAAAAGTCTCTTAATAACGTTATTACTTTATTATCACCTCAAATAATTAAAATTAAATAAAGTCGAAAATCCAGGTCCTCAGTCCCATTAGCCACATTTCTAGTGCTCAGTAGCCACGGGGGCTGGTGACCACCACGTGGAACAGCGTATTTAGTGCCTGATCATTGGTTCTCAAATCTGGCTACTCAGCAGAACCAAGAATCCACAGAAATGGCTTTTAAGAGCATAAACCCCAAAGTCCCCAGCCCCAACCTTACTTACCCGGAGGCTGGGAAGGACTCTGGTTCCACAAGGCAGCCTGTGTTTTTTGATGGAGAGATGTGACAGGGGCTGCGTTTTAACGTTTCCTCTTAAATACTGGAGACAGCTTCGAGGAGGAGATAACTGGATGTGTCTTAGTCCATTTTCTGTTGCTTGTAACAGAATACCTGAAACTGGGCAATTTGTATGGTAAAATAATGGTTTTTTTACTGCTCTGGAGGCTAAGTCCAAGGTGCAGTCCCTTCTTGCTGGTAGGGACTTTGCAGAGTATTGAGGTGGCACGGACGTCATATGGTAAGGGGCTGACTGTGTTACCTTTTTTCTTTTCTCATAAAGCCTAACTAGTTTCACTCCCATGATAACCCATTCATCTATGAATGGATTAATCCATTCTTGAGGGAAGAACCTTCATGACCCAGTCACCTCTTAAAGGCCCCACCTCTCAATACTGCCACGTTGAGAATTAAGTTTCAACATGAGTTTCGGAGGTGACAGACATTCAAACCATAGCATGCTGCCTCTTAAATAACTCAATAAGCTCCTGTGGCATCCACTTCTGTATGCCTTGGACAGCTTTTAGACATCTATTTTCCTAGAGGGACAAGACCATCACCTGTGATCCTATGACCTTTTGGCTTTAGGCCTAACAAGCAGGTTATACCCTCACTCACTTTCAAATCATTTTTATTATCTTGCAGACAATTTACACAAGTTTCCACATAGAAAAGGATATATAAATATTTATACTGCTGCCAGGCACGGTGGCTCACACCTGTAATCCCAGCACTTTGGGAGGCCGAGGTGGGTGGATCACAAGGTCAGAAGATTGAGACCATCCTGGCTAACACGGTGAAACCCCGTCTCTACTAAAAATGCAAAAGAAAAAATTAGCCGGTCATGGTGGCGGGCGCCTGTAGTCCCAGCTACTTGGGAGGCTGAGGCAGGAGAATGGTGTGAACCCGGGAGGCAGAGCTTGCAGTGAGCTTGCAGATGGCACCACTGTACTCCAGCCTGGGTGACAGAGCAAGACTCTGTCTCAGAAAAATAAATAAGTAAATATT